GACCGGGGTCCGCGTCACCGCCTGGCCCGAGCTCCTCCGGGCAGCAACCTGACAGCTACGGAAATAGTGACACGGGAGAAAGTGCTACAGCCTGTGATGAGTGCCCCTCTTGCTGTTTACTCCTAATTTTTTCCTGTATTGCTCTCTCTCTCTGCGGAAACTGCACATTCTCAGGGCAGAATCCTGTCTTTATGCAATACCTAATTACGACCAGTTAAAATTCAGTATCACTTACATAATAAACCTTTTTTTGTGCAACTAAAAATTAATGTGTGTAATTATGTCACTTTAATTGAGCTTATATCCATATATTGTTATTATTGCATATTAGCTAGGTGCCCTTGTTAAAAATAACATCACTTTAAGCACTGTATAACATGGGGAGATAAAAAAAGGAGAGTGTCTCCTCCACAGAGCTTGGAATCAAAACAGAAGATGCAGATAAGCAGTTCAAAGGTACAGGGAGACAGGAAATGTCCCATTTGAAAACCTTATTTCATCAGTTACAGACTTACTGGAAAAGATTCAGACTAGTACATTAAGATAATCAGAGGTCCAGAAAATGCAGTTAGTGAAGAAAGACAACGGGTTTTATTTTGGCTAAAAAGAAGGCAAAAGTTACCCTTCCATTAAATGCACCAAGTTGGTTAACATCTTGCCTCTGAAAAAAAAGTACAGGGTCCTGCACCATCCCTACCACACTTGTTTAAAATAGATATTATCATATTGTGTTTAAAGAATAATAGAGAATCTGGTAGGCAAAAATTGGCATTTTTTCTTTTAAGTGCTCTTTCTGACATGTTCTGCCTTGCAGAATCAGTAGACTTGTACATATTCTTTTTCCAAAGCGTATCTCATACATAACTATACTTCTGTAAGCAAACCTCTGTCAAAACCTGTTTGTGTGGTCAGGTCTTAAAATTTGAATCTTTTCTTCTGTGGCAACAGGTCTGCTTGCATAACAGAGTAGTACTTCCGAGCATGAGTAGGGTTATTCCTTAAATTAGCGTTGCTTTAAAATATAACTAAGTGCCTACAGAATCACTACATTTGTTCCCTTTTAATATTTAGTTATGGGTGATGAGTCACTACCATTTTTTCTGGACCAAGGAACCACTAAAACATTTCAAATACCCATTGGTCACCTGGACTACAAGTTCATTGAAAAATGCACAGATGTTAAACACCTGGAAAAGATTCTCAGGATATTAAGGTAAACATTATATTTTCTTACCTTCATTACTAATTATATTAATGTTCTGTAAAATTCAGTAGAGCCTGTACCTGAATACTCTATTTGTCTTGAACCTTTTTGTGACTTTCTAATTTAAAAATTAAAATACAAAATTAATTATGTTAAAAGTGTCCAAATGATAATGCTAGAAATCCAAGTCTTGTTTTAACCATCCAAGAGATTTGAGTAACCCAATGCCAGTTTTTCTCAAATACTGCCATCTTGCCCAAGTGTGGTCATTTCAGATGCCATTCCTGTTTAACTTCTGCAGAAAATAACAGTCATTTTTTTATGAGCACTGGGCTGATAATTTTGAACTGTGTATGTATGTGCATTGGAAAGTGATTGAAGCCTAACTGGCTGGAATTTACTGGTTATAGTAAAATTCAGTTGTAACAGGAAAATAGTCCTTTGGAATCTCAGTGATGACTGTACATGAAGAGAAATATGGAAAATGCAGTGCAGTTCAGTTATTTTTTGTAACTTTTATATCTTTGTATTTTAAAGGTCTGGTGAGGAGGGATGTTATCCTGAACTTACATTGTTTTGTGAAAAGCGTATTGAGCACTTAGATCCAAGGAGCAGGGCTCTGAGAAAAGATAAGCCTGCAGCCACAGCTTCTGATTTCACAGCTGAAGAATGGGAAACAATTAATGGTGAACTGATGGTACAGTATATCTCTAATTTATAATGGTCAGTAATACAATCTCATTGATGTACCAATCTTCCTTTTCTTGTGCATGAGTAGAATGTAATTGTTTGATTACACAAGGAAGTGATCAAAAGATTATAGTGGGGGCTTTATTATTTTCTTGAGTCAGTGTCACTGAATCTTTAATCCCCTTTTCACAGACTTTTTTTAGTAGATTCTTTTTATTCAAAAAAGCACAGTTTTTTGTCTTAATTGCTTTTCACCATTAAGAGCAGTGTATTATGAGGATAGTTACTAGTGTCATTATAGACTATGAAGTATATCTGCTTTACTGCCTTAAAGTACAGATATTTATTTCTTTTCAGAGCTGGGTAACAGAAATGAATGAAGATGATAAGAAACCACAATTCCTGAGAACAGATATACTACATGAAAGACAAGATGATTTGCCTCCTATTCGTTGTTCCGGTTATTTTCCTGCTAATCAGGTATCTCTAGTTTTCTAATGTTTGTTAATCATATGGCTTTCTAAAATCTGGAAATTTTATCTCTACAGACTTCCAGGCATTGAGCCTTTCTTACTAGTTTTATTTTGTCAACCAGGAAATACAAACCTTTTAAGTTTCTCTGCAAAAGACTAATGTGCCTCCTTAGTACTAGCATGTGTCTTGTAATAATGTTTTAATTCTGATGAAGAATTTACTCTGGAGCAAATCTCCTTAAACACCCTTTTATGTTCTTTGATTCACATTTTGAAGTGGTGTTTAATCATATGAACTAGGTTCCTTTCAGAGGAAACGATGCCGCAGAATTTTCCTCAGCTGCCAGTAGGCTTTTGTTCCATGAGACCAAACAGGAGCTAGTCCAAAATAAATACCCTTTTTATTTTGAAGTTTTGAAGTGAGAAATTTTTATAAAAGGATCCTTACAGGCCACGTGATATTTTTAATTAATTAATAATTTGACAAAAATTATTGGAATAATTATGTATTATTATAACTTTTGTTTTCCATACAAGGTTGACATGTTAGCATTATTACCCAGAAAACCTAGATACAGCTTTATGCCTTATCTGTGGTATATGATTTCCATTCCTTTTGTCCAAGCAGATGGCTTTTGAAGTAATTTAAAATTCAGTCTTTTAATACAGCAGTGCAGTTATACCACTACTAGATCAGTACTGAATAAAAAGAAACTGTTCCATAGTATGCGCTAAATTTATACCTGTAAATATAGATTTTATTTCTTTCTTGCTGATAAAGCTATGTGTAATCTTACAAATTCTAAACATTTTTTGCTAGTCAGGACTGTAATTATTATTTACATTGGCATCACATAATTTTGCAATGTGGTATCAAAGTTGGGATGATAAATTTCTACTCTGCTAGAAAGAAATCTACAAACCCTTCTGTAATTTTGTGTTGATATTTTATTGAAGGCTGTTCAGCTGGTCTGAAGCATAAAAAGTTCAGTATCTTCAATGAAGCCAATTCTGGAAATCCTCATTGACCCTAAAACAGTAGATCATACCGATGAGTACAAGTTTGGTAAATGAAAGTATCTAGTGTCTGTAACCAGATTTTATTGCTTAACTATTATTTTTGCTGCCTCATTTTTTTCCAGGACAGAACTAAAGCATTGGTTTGAAGATACTCATTTCCAAAAGACTATTGACGGGATTTCAGCAGACTTGGGTTCCTTTACCAAACACAGTTGCTAATACTGTACCAGAAAGGTTTCTGTCCTTAGATACGTCTTACGCTAAAGTGCAAGTTTTATGTTACACAAATCCTGTGATAATATCTACAGAGCCTTTATACTATTTTGGATCCTCTGAACTAAAAAGGAATACTGGTTAGCTTACACTGAATAGTAATGTCTTACACCATAACACAGAGCCCAGAGGAGAACCAAGGCCTAATTCTGTGCCATCTGAACTTCTGAACTGAAGCTAGTCCATGCTTTGATGTTTGGTCCAGAAATTGTTCATTGGGCCTCAAACCTTGTGGGATCAATGCATTGTGAGATGCGGCAAGAAAAACGACAAGGACAGAGATTTTTGTTTCAGTTCCATAGCACGCAAATGAACATTTTTCATCAAAGCCTCTTGGATGAGATGCATTGAAGTATTACTGATAGAGAAATTCCTGGCTCTCCTGGAGCCACAACTTGGTTACAGTGGTCCCAAGAATGAGACCTAGAACTTTAAAAATTGATAAGATTTTAAATTTTGAGTAAATTCTTCTGCCTTACTCCTTAAAAGAACACAGAATCCTAAAATCAGAGAATGATTTGAGTTGTAAAGGACCTTGAGATCATCTAGTTCCAACTCCCCTGCCACAAGCAGGGACACCTTCCACTAGACCAGGTTGCTTCAAGCCCCATCCAACTTGGCCTTGAACACTGTCAGGGATGGAGTGTTCACATGCTGTAGTTTTCTCCTTAAATTAAAGTTGCATTAGTAAATACCTTAAATGAGTTTTCTTCAGAGAGTTTCACTATTTTTTGTTCATTTAAGAGAAAGACTTATGGTTTGAAAAAAAGATTTCATATTTATTAAATTACTGAATTTGTAATATAAACCAGGATGTAGAATGGTAATTCATGTTTCAGGAAGCCATATTTAGGAGTTACCTCCTCCAAACGTGTTTAGACAAAATGTATTTCTTATTTTGTCTAATTTATCATAGAATCATAGAATGGCTTGGTTTGGAAAGGATCTTAAGATCATCTAGTTCCAGCCCCCCTGCCACGGGCAGGGACGCCTAACATTAGCCATGTTGCCCAAGGCTCTGTCCAACCTGGCCTGGAAGCTTCTTGAAAGACTAAGAGCATTAATGAGTAATTCTGAAGTTACATACTGTAAAAGTTTGTGTAACCTAACATTATAGTCAGAAGTGTTTACAGGAAGGGCTACATTTGCATTATGTAAATTGTGGTGTTTACTTCCAACTGCAGAGGTATTTCCTTGTTACAGTGTCACCACTGGTAAACCTAGTTTAAGAGGTTGTTGCTTGTTTCTTTGGTCCAGTTTATCATGTGCTCTCTTGAATTGGTACATATATTTGGGGATTGTGCTGCAATTTCTATCAAATTGTTTGTCTGATCCCAGATAATTGTAAATCTGCAACTCTACAAACAATTACACTGCAGCTCAGTAAATGCTGGATTGCAAGGTAAGAGGAGGGCTGAATGGCCAGGACAGAGTAGGTGGGAATATTTTGAACTGAGTGTTCTACTGTGGAATACCTGTTTGGAACCACACCTTGCTATTAAGTATTGTTGAAGTCAACAAGAAGGGAGGGACATAGCAGAAATACAGTCTCAGGACAGGGGTAGAAGAGGTGACAAAGGCGCCAGCTATGGAAATAGGTGCCATTAGTGTAGGAGATGGGTTGTGATACAAGCCAGTTGAATTTGTTATTGGGACTGATTGTTGCAGGAAGGTCCTAAGGATAAATTTTAGGTAAGGCAACCCTCAATGATGGAGCTTGTCTAAAAACTAGAATGAGTGTAAATTATTTTGGGAATTAGCTTCAGAGGAGTGTGAAATAGTCAAAAGAAGTCCAGACACTATTTTGAAGTCGAAACGTTGTAAATTTGTTGTGAGGGTTCCAGGGACAATCGTAATCTGTTCATTGCATTATCTAAACCAAGGTTATTGTTTCAATCTCAGTGCCAAACACCTCACCATAAGGCTGTGTTTTCCCAACACTGAGTTGCCCCTTGCTGTGTTGAAAGGATAGTTTGCAAGGTGGCAGCACAAGATACTAATTGGGAAGAGCAGTATCCTATCTGAAAATTTTATCCGATTCCTCTGTGATATGTAACTGGCCAGTGGAGGTAAGTATGAGGCTGAAAAACTCCTCAGATTACCAGGATATGTGACATACGTGAAGATTGTCTTTAAAGCAAGACAAATAAAGTTTTCAAGACTATGCTGAGAAGACTCATGAATAGTGTCAGTTACTAGGAATATGTATTGCAGAAACAAAACAAAAAAAAAGCTGTGAATTTCCACTTCAAAAACTTGTTTTAGAGGCTGGCTGTTTCTCTTTCAGAACAAAAATTTACAAAACAAAGAAAGAAACAAGAAAAACATACCACGGGATTACAGTGAATGGGACAAGTATGTTAAATCCTTTTTTTATATATATGTATATTTAGTCTTATTTATTTGTTAAAGGAATATTGATTGTTCCAATTAACAGTTTTACCTGTCTTTTCTGGGGCGATGGCAAGGGGGTGAGTCAGGCATTTTTCTTGGTTTGGTTGGTTTTAACCAGAAGGGACGAGGGAGAGAGGAGATAATGTATTAAGCAGGAGAAGCATACACACACAAAAGAAACCAACACAAGGAAAGGAGATAAGATTCATAATCTTTTTCCTAAGTAGTCATGGATAACTGAACACAGCCTTTAACTCTCTTTTCCTTTGGTTTATAACGGAAAGTAAACCTTTCTATTAGTAGAGGAGTCTTGCTATGCGGCATTATTAAGTCTATTATTTTTATTAATTTAAGGTTCGATGTGGAAAAGGAGTGTTCTAAAATTGATGAAGGCTGCGAAGAAAGTAACTCAAAAGCAAGATTATTTAGCAGGCCAAGTCTACCTATAATCAAAAAGAAAATAGACACAACTGGTAATGTCTTAGAAACATACAATTTTTCTTTAATTGTAATACTGTGTTGTAGAGTGTGAATGCAAACCAAAGCAGCATATTACAGAGTTAAAGGTGTCTTTATCTGCTTCTCAGCCCCTAGAGATGCTAGAAGTTGTCAAGAGATCAGCTGAACCTGAAGCCGTATTTAAAGAAAATCTAGGTGTTAATAATCAGTTAAATATTTATGTTGTGTTTAGGTTGAGAGTGGGTGGTAAAGTAGTAGAGCATACATCTGCTATTACAAACCGATGGCAGAGGTTAGCTGAGTGCTTTCATCTTGCGCTCTGAATGCTCATGGGAAGGATTTATTTTTAGAATCATTCAGAATAATTTTTATTTTTGAAAATAAAATACAAATTTGTCTTTTAGTAAGTCGTGTTCTTTTAAAAAATAATTAAGATTATGGCATTCAAAATATTTTAGCTGATAGCTTTTTGATTGCATCTGTACCAGTTGTTAGTTGTTGTTATGTATAAATATTTATTTTTCTAGGCATGACAAAGAAAGAGAAGATTTTTATTGCTACTCGTGAAAAAGAAAAGGGCAATGAAGCCTTTGCCAGTGGTGATTACGTGGAAGCAGTGACATATTACACTCGGTGAGTAAATACTGTTGTGTTCTTTCACTTTAATGGCTGTTACTTGTGAATATTATTTTTAGAGCAATGTAATTAAAGCAACTTCTTACTGAAGCAAGTAGTGACAATTAGATTATTTTAGAAAAGGGCAGAAAGGTTTGACAGAAGAATCCTTAAAGCACTGTTGCATCCTGATACTAATTTTTATTTATCAGGAAGAGAAATGGTTAAATAGTGACGGGATGTAATTTGCAGGTGTCACAAACTTCTTCAGATTTTTCAAACCCCGTGAGATTCAAAGGCAAGTTTACAAAAATAAAAGGATAAGCAGTGTGCTGAGAAACTAAATTCATTACAAATTAATTCTAATAAACCATACTGGTAGGATTGCCTCAACTGGTAATAAGTAAAATTGATTTAATAACCTCTTCTTAGGGGAAAGAAAAATCACTGTGTACAGCTTCACCATGATACTGTCTGTTATTAGCAGCAGTCCAGGCAAAGAGTATATAAACACAGGATTAAAAAAAATGAGACTCTTTCAGGTTACTTACCTTATTTAGGAAACTCATTCCACTAAATGGAATGAGTGGATGCTCAGTAGACTACATTCAGGCTTTGGCTTCATATAAATAGAGGTTGTTGCTACAAGGACCTCTGCTGTACTTGTTTCAAAAGAAGAAAAGTTCAAGATGGACAGAATAGAGAATGCCAGGAAGAGAAGGATAGTGTTTCAGTTATGGTATTTGAATGGAGGTTTGGGGAGAACTAGATTTTTTTTCTCTCTCATAGCATTCAACATGATGCTGTTTATACAAACCAGGATTTTCACGAGACCAACATTTGTTTATCATTTGTGAATTACCCATTTTGAGACACCAGAGGTCTGACTTGGAAAAATACTGACTGCTCACCCATTAAACTAACATAAAAGGAAACTCAATTTTGTGTTTAACTCTGTGCTTTGATATGATAACAACTTAAAAAAACCCAGAAATTCTAGAACTGTCAAAGTTGCTGCTTAGAAATTGAGAGCATATGGGAATCTTGGGGTATTAATTCCAGTGTAGATTGAGGTTATGATATGGCACTACTGTGAGATGAAGTGTTAAGATAATTCATGGGCTATGATATTATAGTGGGGCATCCTTAAAAACCATTTATAAGGAAGTTAAGGCATCTGAGGTCAGTACAGACAACTATGGAGAAAATAATGAAAATAATAAAATTGTGTGCATCAGCAATAAAATATTAAACAGATTTATGTTTAGGAAGCACCATTCAGACTGTCACTGAAAGAGGCAGGGTTTTGTAGAACAGCTTATGCAAATTTACCCGGTGATTGTTGATGTGTATATATATATGCACAAAGGTACTGATATTTATAATGCACAGATATTGTTTAAACTGAGGCATTTGGTGTTTGTATTTTTGTTCTTGCCCTGCAGCATTAATAAGTTTTTCTCTTTTTTTTGTTAATACATGAACATGAATATAAAATCCATAGCTATATTTCATATACAATAAATAGCATTCAAATTCACAATGTAAAAACAAGTTGACATCTCTGCTTTTGGGGCATAAACAAGGTATTAATGAGTAAGGATGGGCAGAATCCTCCTAATGTAGAGTTTTTCCATATTCAGTGCCCATGGGGCATTGTACACCTTCTGAAATACATGACATTGGCACTGCATGCAGTTAATAACTGGGTGCTTTTCTAATACCATCTGAAAATTCCTATTGTCTTACATTTAGAAATATTTAAATAAAACATATTTTGGAGTGAATTGATGAACGTCTGAAGGGGTTACCTGTATATGGCTAAAATGGAAAAAGTAGAGTTCTATATAAAAATAATCAGGGTACGGTTATTCATTCTGTTTGTCTGGTAATGAGGCCTACAATTCTAAGCTGAACAGAGAAACTACTTCCTATTTTACAAAAAACAAACCTCTCTCATTTCTGAAGAGAGTCAAAACTTTTGCAGAGGATATGCTCTGACATAATTCTATTGTGCTGATCTGATTTTAAAATAAATGGATCTTGCCTATTTTTCTGCATACCTCTAGTGAAATTACTCTGTTTAGTAATTTTAGTTATACTGCAGAATTACAGAATAATTTAAGTTGGAGCAAGCTCTAAATAATATTTGGGGTGCATTGTCTCTCAAAGCAGGGCCAAGTTAGATCAGGTTACTCATGGCTTTGTTCAAGTAAGTTCTTAATATGTCAAGGTTGGAGATTTCACAACCTCTCTGGGCAGCCTTTTGCAGAGGTTAACTACCCTTAGAGTAGTTTTTTTCCCTAAAATGTTACCAGAAATTCCCTTTTGCAACTTACATCTGTTGCCTTTTGTCCTAACAGCATGCACTTCCGAGAAAGAGTGGCTCTGTCTTCTCCATATCTTCCTGTTAAGTAACTGAAAATTGTTCTTGCAAAGCTGCTTTCTAGCTAGTTGGCACCCACATGTACTGTTGCTGCTGTTTCAGGTGCAGGATTTTTTGATTGCCTTTTTGAACTTCCTGAGAAGCCTGCCAGCCCATTCCTCTGGCCTGTTAAGGTCCCTCTGACTGGAGTTCTGTGATCCAGTGTATAACTGACCATTCCCTCCAAGCTTTGTATCACTGACAGACTTCTTGGGGGTGCCTTCTGTTCACAGAATGACAGAATGGTTTGGGTTGGTAGGGACATTAAAGATCATCTAGTTCCACCCCCCTGCTACAGGCAGGGACACCTCCCATTAGACCAGATTGCTCAAAGCCCCATCCAGCCTGGCCTTGAACCCTTGCAGGGATGGGGCAGCCACAGCTTCTCTGAGCAACCTTTGCCAGTGCCTCACCACCCTCACAGTGAAAAATGTCTTCCTTATATCTCTTGCAGTATGCTGTCACGCTGGAACTTCCCTATTGGCCCCTGTTCATGGTGGACAGAGTCCTTCTTGCTAGGTTAGCAAGAGTGTGGGCAAAGATTCTCGTGTACTACTTTGTCTTATGCATCCCAGTTGTCCTTGTTCCTCAGAGATGGTCCTGTTGTTACAGAAACTAAAGCCCTGCCTAGAATACTAGCCACATAGTCAAACCTGGAAAATTCATCCATTGCTACCTGAGTCTTTCCCTTTTAAAAGCAAGATCAAGGAGAAGCCCATGTGCCCCCCTCATCATAACTTCCAGAGCTCTGTAGTTACTCTTGATACTCTCAAAGATTTCATTTGACAGTTTTATTCAAGACTACATGGATGGTAGCAAGAGGTAACAGTTTAAGTGATAGGTGAGCCATGGCATCTTTTCTGCAACTTCTCAGATCTAAGCCCTGGCAAGCAACAGACCTCTGAAGATGGTAAATCTAGTTGGTGGATGGTTGCCTCTGGTCTCACAAGAGGGAGTTTCTAACCACTATTGTGGTTAGAATATCAGTATTAATATTGTTACAATACTGTTTTCAGCTTCTAATAGTGAAGTGTTTCTACATTTAGGCTTTCTAGCTATGAGCCTACCATGGTCAATATTCCCTTTTTCAGAAGTATATCAGTAATACCCACTGCAGCTGCATATAATAACAAAGCTCAAGCAGAAATCAAACTGCAGGACTGGGACAGTGCTTTGCAGGACTGTGAGAAGGTACTAGATATGGAACCTGGCAACATAAAAGGTAAAGGAGAACATAAACTTGCCCTTCTATGTGTTATTTTATTTCTAGCAAATAAAATGGTACATGTCTATTCATGTTGTTAGTTGACTTAACTGAGCTTTAGATCAGGTCCAAGTATGAAGAAGGAAACAGAGTAGCTCCCTGAAGTAATTTTAACAATATTTCTGAGGTCAGGGAAGTTTAATGCAGTTCATGCTGTTGATCTGTAATGGGTATTCCTATGTGGTAGCATGGGGCTAACTCATTTTTCGTATGATGACTTAAGCTCTCTACAATTCAGGCAATGCATTGTTTCCATAATACTCACACTAAAGTTTTAATTACTTTAAAAGCAAGATGAAAACAATGAAAGTTGTTTATTTAATCTTTTCTGAAGGAACTGGCTATATATGCATGGGCAGAGGGGAAGAGTTGGAAAAATGTAAAAAGATGCTTAACAGTTCATGTTTGGCATCTCAAAAGGTGTCGTGAAATTGCATCATTAAAAATGATCAAGAGAACAGAGACTGTATTACTAATACAGTCATTATGAACTAAATGCAGAATTTTAAAAACTGGTTTTCACTTGTCTAGAAAAAGTGTATTTTTATCCACTTTATGCTTCAAATACATAAATAATACACTTTGTTCCTTTGTAGCTCTGATGCGTCGTGCCACTGTACACCGTCAGCTGCAGAATTACCAGGCAGCTATAGAGGATCTGAACAGAGTATTACGTGTTGAACCAGAAAACGCTATAGCTAAGGTAAAGACAAATGAGTTGACTATGACTAGCAAGAGGTTGTATGCAGTTGTAGATGAAGTGTGTACAGCTTACATTGTTTGATTTGAATATGAGTTTTGAGGATGTGCTCTACTGTGACAACAGTCACTTTCTCCACACTATATAGGTACCTGTGTTGGAAATTAGGTAGTTGAATGTGACCAGACCTTCAGTCTGCTGAAGTACCTTCACTACTTAATTGTGAGAACTTGTAGGCACTCAAGTCTTCTCTACTAATGTAATTTAGGTGCCTGAATTTTTGATGATGAACACGATTACAGTATTAGTGTCTTCACTGATCAAAGTTATTTGGACATTTGGCTCAAAAAGATCTACCGGGATACGTATATTTAATTTTGACAAGTAATTCGCAAGAAAAAATCAAAAGAGATGCTAAGCTTTTATTGTTGTAGTGGTGAAGTTAACCCAAAAGGAGAGTACCCGGGTTCTGTCCTCAGTTCAGCATGATGTTATGTATCTTTATTTCTCACCTCCAGGCTAGAATGAAAAACCTTTCATACCTTCTGATGAACCTGGACTTTCCTTAGCCAGTTTTGGATCTAAGAAAGCCTAAAGCTTTCTTTGGAAACTCAAGGTCAGGATGTGATCCTTGTACTACTATTACTTCAGCTAGTTAGGAGAGGATTATTTGTGTCCTTTCTTTGGTATCTTCTTAGGGGGGGTTTGTGGCTTAGAACCTAAGCGTTGCATTTGGACTCTGTGTGTCCTGAGAATCTTCAGTACTAGGCAGTTCTGATACTAAATGTCTCTTTGTTAATTAGGAATCCAACAAACTGCTACCCTCCCATTTTTATTTTTTTTTACATATGAATTCTGGATGCTGTGCAACTGCCTCATCACCTGAATTCTGTTCAGCTTTTGTTGGCACATTTTGAGCTGCTAGCATCTTGCTGATTGCTACTTCTTTCCATGGAGTTATTTGATCATTGCTATTGCTTGCACCACTGAGGGAGGTCCAAGCCTGTTAGGTCAAATTCAGAGTAGCCCTGCGGAGGACTTGGGGGTGTTGGTTGTTGAGAAATTCGACATGAGCAGGCAGTGTGCGCTTGCAGCCCAGAAGGCCAACCGTATCCTGGCCTACATCAAAAGCCCGGGGACCAGCAGGTCAAAGGAGGTGATCCTGCCCCTCTACTCTGCTCTTGTGAGACCTCACTTGGAGTATTGTGTCCAGTTCTGGTGTCCTCAACATAAAAAGGACATGGAGCTGTTGGAGCAAGTCCAGAGGAGGGCTATGAGGATGATGAGGGCTGGAGCACCTCCCGTATGAAGACAGGCTGAGAAAGTTGGGGCTGTTCAGCCTGGAGAAGGGAAGACTGCGTGGAGACCTCATAGCAGCCTTCCAGTATCTGAAGGGGGCCTACAAGGATGCTGGGGAGGGACTCTTCATTAGGGACTGTAGTGGTAGGACAAGGGGTAATGGCTTCGAACTTAAACAGGGGAAGTTTAGATTAGATATAAGGAAGAAGTTCTTTACAGTGAGAGTGGTGAGGCACTGGAATAGGTTGCCCAAGGAAGTTGTGAATGCTTCAACCCTGGCGGTGTTCAAGGCCAGGTTGGACAGAGCCTTGGGCAACCTAGTTTAGTGTGAGGTATCCTTGCTCATGGCAGGGGGTTGGAACTAGATGGTCTTAAGGTCCTTTCCAACCCTAACTATTCTATGATTCTATGATTCTAAATTCACCACATTCAGCATTCATCCCTTTTAGAGCATTCTTGGAGCTAAATTCCTGTCCAGAATAGTTCCTGAGTTTCACATCAACCAAAGGAATCAACCTGCCTGATTTCCCCCCACTTCTTTCTTTTTAAACACCTGTCTCTAGATTTGAATTCTAAAAGGGCTTTTGAGGAGGTTTTTACGTCTACAAGGTTGAACCACTAAATAGCTTGTGAGTCTGTGTTGACAAACTCCACAACAGTCTTTGTGAAAAGATTATCAAATCGGCTGCTCTGAGACTTGTTATAATATCAGACATAAGGTACTCATTTTGAGTACCCTTCCAGAGATGTAAATACATTAGTAGCTTTGCTGAGCAATGCTTCTGTAGCTGAAAACAGATGTCTGCACTTTGTTCTTATCTGTGCCAGCTATTATGCCTTGGCTGAAACATGTAGAAGTGACAAGTACTCAGCAGTGAGTTTTTTCAGTTGCTCTTTGCTTGGAGGATCCTTAAAACCCTCTTGAGATAAATATGAATGTATTGAACACACGCGTAGCGTTAACGTTTATGTAGAGAGTCACTCATACCAAAGGTAAATTGGTTGTCACTAACTGGAATTCTTCAATATACTTTGTTCACATGAATCATTGCTTGTTGCTGTCCTGGTTTTATCTTTTCCTTGAGGAAGTGAGTACTGAAATGGCATTTCCTTTTACAGCATTGAATTAAATTCAGAATAGTGCATAATGTTGGGTCTCTGCTCTGGAAGTGTAAAGTACAGTTGGAGTATTCAAAATGTTTATGGAATGAGAGACAGTTTGGTCATCTAATTTGCAGTTCTTACAAGAGGAGCAAACCTTTTCATTATTCAACAGTGTCCTTTTGTTAACTGCTAGAAACCATAGAATAAATTTTGATAAACTGATTTCAGGCTTTTTTGAGATTCTGGAAGCAATCTGTTTTCCACTGGAAATAATCTGTTTTCTTACTCTTCTGAGGAGACCATGCCAGATACTGCAATAATGCAATTTGCCTTTTTTTTTTTTTTCCCTCTGAGCTTTTGTTGTTTGTGTTTTGTTGGTTGTTTCTTTTTTTTTTCATCTTCCTTAAACAGTTAATTCAAGAAAAATACTTGTGTGATATTGTCGTGGTTCAAACCCAGCCGGCAACTTGGAACCACGCAGCCGCTCGCTCACTCCCCCCCTTTTCCTTCCTCCCCCCGCTCCCGGAGGGATGGGGAGGAGAATCGAAGGAATGTAACTCCCACGAGTTGAGATAACAGCTCTCCAGTAACTAAGGTATAATACAAACCACTACTGCTACCAGTAATAATGATAAGAGGAATAACAAGGGAAAAGGACACAACCGCTCACCACCCGCCGACCGATACCCAGCCCGACCCGAGCAGCGATCTGGGCCTTCCGGGTAACTCTCCCCAGTTTATATACTGGGCATGACGTGCTGTGGTATGGAATACCCCTTTGGCCAGTTTGGGTCAGGTGTCCTGCCTCTGCTTCCTCCTGGCTTCCCCTCCTCTCTGGCAAAGCATGAGACTGAGAAAGTCCTTGGTCAGAGTAAACATTACTTAGCAACAACTAAAAACATCGGTGTTATCAGCGTTGTGCCCAGACTGAAAGTCAAAAACACAGCACTGCACCAGCTACTAAGAAGGAGAAAAAATGACTGCTGTAGCTGAACCCAGGACAGATATCTTCTGAGTTTCCAAAAGACAGAAATTGAGTGTTAAATTGAGTGTTAATCTCTGTTTTGATACTGAATCTTGGAAAAGTGACATCATGTTATTTTTCCTGTGTTTTTATATTGCAGAAAAATCTGCTAGAGATTGAAAAGAAACTGAAAGGTTTAAAACCTGTATCTAAGACTCAAGGCAAAGGAAAAAGAATACTTATTCAAGACATAGAGAATTCAGAAAGTGATGAAGGAAGAGGGGAAAATACAGAACGTGAAAGAAGCAGTGAAAATAAAAGTAATGTCATGTCATTTCCTATTTAATTTTAATCTAAGGAAGAAATCTGTGCCTTTGTTGTTGCCATCTTTATTCACACAATTCATCCATTTTTGCTTGCAAAGAATTTTTCCTGTTTAAAGACTAAAGTTACATTCACTACATAAAGTAAATTTGAGTGAAATCTAGAATCCAGTTTTATTACACATCTTTGGAATTATTTCTAGAAGGGGTATAACAGAGACAGATGGAAAATGTTGCTGTAGATCACCTACTTCCGTATGTAATCTGACACCTATCCTTTGGTGTGGATCCAGTTGGGAATGTTCTCTGGTGTTAGAGAACATGATGTGTTGCTTAGCTGTTTCTCTCACATAGATCTCCTGCCTTCCCATCATTGCATTTTTGTTCTGCATATTTCTTCCCATAACTGGATCAGAGGGTATAAAAATAATCAAGTGGCGTGTAATTTGGTTATTTTGCTGCTGTTTGTTTTGAAATCTATCAGTTTTTGTGTTTTTTAACCTAAGACATCATCTGGTCTGAAAGTACGTATTAGAGGCAAACAACGTGTAATTCTTGTACTGTATATAGTTCACAAGCAGCTGAAGTGCAGCTCCTGTTCCTGGATTAGTGTGTGAATAACTGCAAAACTGCTGAGATGAAACTACTGGTATAATCAGAATCCATGACTTGTAGGAGGAAGGGAAGCAGTTGGGGCTACTGAGGCTTGCACTGGCAGGTTGTTTTTAGATTCAGCTGCATGTCTAGGCTCCAACCTCTGACAGAGTGACATCCCTAGGTTGATTCCCACCCTTTCTCCTTTCTGTTGGTTCTTTAAGGTAGTGTGGCATGACAGCTGTGACTTCTGTGTTTTCTGTTACCTATGTAGTTCTTTATCTTGAAATTAAATCAGTGTGTGGGTTTTACAGATTAATTGTAAATATTAAACTGTACATGTATGAGTTAATAATGCATTATTTGCAAAGAAATTTAAGGAAAATATATTTTTCAAAATCAGTAGGTATCTACTAAGTCACTTCAGCTAAAACCCTGGAAGAAAGCACAGGTCATGTCTTTAGTCTTAAATACTACTTAACTTGGGGCTGCTTTCATTGGGAACATTCAGATGACTAAGTGCCTTCTAGCTCCATAGGAAGACTTCCATTCTGTTGATGAAAGGTTAGGCTTTTAAACAGAAGATTATCAAGTGATGTCAATGTTGCATATGTTCATGTAAGTATTTCTGAGATTTAGGAGACAAGCACCTTCATAGATTACTCTGTTTTCAAGTACAGCTGAAAGCAAATACAAACTCAGTTCAGTTATCGAATAGATTTGGTATGTTCCATGAATCTAACAGCAATAAATAGACTAAACATTTTATATGTCTTTTCTATACATCTAGTCATGTAGTCACAGTCAGTCCAGTAGTGCATGTAGTCCAGTCATGTAGTCACATTGATTTCATATTCCAGTTGGTAAACCTCGTGCATTCCTACTAAACTTATAACATGGAGATGGGAAGAAAAACAGCAAAATATTTTTGTTTTCTTTAGCTCTGAAGAGCTGATTTCTCAGACAAAGCAGTATAAATGAAGACTGTAGTTGCTCTTCATCTTCTATGTAACTGACAGATAAAGTAAATAAAATCCTTTTTGTACAATTGAAACAGAAAATTGCTTATGTCTTAAAGACTGTAAAAACTAGTATTCAGGCACTGTAAAAACTAAAAATTGTTTATGTATTTGACAAAGCGCCTGATATTTTGACATGTTTATAAAGTCATAATCTGAAGTGATAAATATGGTTTACAGATAAATATATTTTAAATAGCCCTTGTAATTCATAAAAAATTGCTGACCATATATGGCAAAAAAGTAAAAAAAAAAAAAAAAAAAAAAGGAAATTAATCTGTGGAGATTTGGACCATTCCAGTTGCCTTCACATATAGCTAGTCCCATGTGCTTAAAAGACTTGGAAATGGTTTCTGGCTTCATAATAGGTGAATTAACTGTGAACTGAACTTAGGTAAATTGCTTTTCATTCTGCCACCATTATTTTTGTGTTATGCTTCTGGAGGATAAATACTTTGTATAGCTGGAAATGAATTTTAAATGAAAGACAATGTCATCCATTTAAAAAAAAAACCAAACAAATATTCCTTTTGGAGCATTCAGTAGCTTTTGTTTTATGACATTCCTTCCAATTTGTTATTTTAATAGTAACATGAATTAAAATTCTGGCTAGTATGTATTTGCTGTCATTCTAGTCAAAATCCTGCCCACACTTTTCAGTATCTTTCTTTAACTTTTCTTTGGAATTTTTGGGGGTTTTTTTAGGAAAAGTTTTTAGGTGATGATTTTTTTTTTTTTTAGGACAATTCTGCTTTCATTAATATATTTCTCTGCAGAGACCAATACAGGAGTAGTGTTCATGTTATTAAGACTGAAAGCGAAAAACAGAATTAGATTTGAGAAATGTCTGTGCAATTTTGTGCATGGTGTTTACTCAGTTCAGAAATACTGAGGCAGTTTGCATAACCTGACAGCTAAACCAGTTAACTATTACTACTTGTATTATCAGGGGTATTCCAAAGGCTATAAATGTCTCCTGTCAACCCAGGATCAGTTCTGAGCACTTTATCTTCAGGAAATTTTATCCTGTGTTCAGGAAATGATGTTCACATTAATGACATTCACGTCATTATCTGTCATTATTCACGTATTATCTCCATTTCTTGCTTTTTCTGTGGCAGAGGAAGTTGGGTTCTGCTTCTAGAGTGTTTCACTGTGTTTTCTATAATCTTGTCAAATCACCTGTTCGTGACATTTAAAATGTTGGGGTTCCCCCCCCCCCCCTTAATTTTACTAGAAGGTGTACAGGGTATTTGTCTGTTTTGGTGGATGTAAAATGAAAAGTATTTTAGCATGTATCCTAAGGAAATTACTATTATATGATCACTGTCTTCACTCATCTGCCCAGCTAGCTTTTTTCCCTCATCCTCTCAATGAAATAGACTTTAAACCTTTTTGGCATATTTGGCACTGCTAATTTGCATGGATGGATGGATGTCTCAAATAGAAATAGTTTACTTTAAGTTTTATGAAAGAGTCTATGTGAGTAGAATAGTTGTATCCTATCATTATTCCCGCTGTGTAGCATGAACTTATTATTAAACATGGTATTTCAAGACAGAGACCACAGCTAGGAAGGGGACAGTTGGAGCTTTTGTCTATTAGGCACAAGAGAACCTATTGTTTTTAAAAATCTTATGCTTTGCCATCCTGTTCAGTTTGATTTCAGCAGCATTTTGTGCATTAAGAAAATAGTAATTCTGTAATTTGGAACAACCTGGAGTTCATCCGTATTCAATCGACTTTGTAAGTTTAGTTGAAGTCAATTGGAAGTGTCACTCCGATATACGAAGGCATGAAAAAATGCTGTTGGACAGATAAATTGGACATCAATTAAGGGAAGGTGAAATCCCAGCACCTTAGATACCAAACACAGAGTTGCCTTTGTGTGAGTATCAACAGTTAGGCTTTCTGCAGAAATCTGTATTTGAATACTGTGGTGGCAATCTGGTAGGAATTCAGGTGAAGAAGGAATGTATATGTATTAATATCTGATATCCTTATTGTGTGATTTTTCTGAATTAATAATAAAGAATAGTGGAATTTGAATAATCAGGATTATTTATAAAAGGCTTTTTGACATTATGTTTAAATGAAACCTCTTTGAGAATGATTTATAAGCTGTTATCCCTCCTATGTAGTATTTGAGAGTTTTGAAGTATGCAACATTACTGGTTTCTTAGCAGTGTGTTTTAACATGCAAGCATTTTGATTTGGTCATGGAAAATCAAAGTACCAATATTGTAATAGCCAGTATGTAAAGAGTTAATTTCAGTGTGAACTCTGTACCATTCTGACACCTCAAAACAGGGGTTCATAGTGTGCCTGGCAAGGAGAAATTACATTTCATAGTAATACCTTTTCAGTAATAATTGCAAGTAAGTTGTAACTAGGAAATTTATCTGTGTTCTTGGAAGTGTTTTCTAAGGCAAATACATCTTCATAACACTAGGATGCCTGAAGGATTTGGTAGTGTTCTTTGGCTGTACACCCCTCTTTTGCCAGGACGATAGTTTCTCCTGATGATGCAAGCTCTAACTCAGCTCATTAACTTCCTTGTAGGAATCGGCGTGCCAGTCAGAGGAGAGGCGGCTGCGGGAGAGGCTGCAATGGGCAATACGCAGAGAAAGTTTCATAGCAAAGGAGGTGGCAGTAAGGCGGAGGACAGAGAGACACAGAAGCACAAGGAATCCACTGAGAGCGGATTAAAAAAAGGCATATCAGAGAAAAATACTCAAAAGCAGTTGTCAGAGTGTGAAGGTGAAGTTAATGGCTATTTACACAGTGATCAAAAAAGTGAAAACCCTGAAGCTGAGGAGGTCTCCGGATCACTTGAAGCAGGGTCTCAGTCGGCTGGTGGCAATTCCACTTCACTTCCTCCTGCTGCAGCAAAACTAAAAAGTGAAGGAAACGAGTTATTTAAGGGTGGACAGTTTGGAGAAGCTGTGTTCAAATACTCGGAAGCAATTGAATATGTCACTGGTCTAGGTGAGTACAACACCTTATACTTAAATCTAGGGTTGTTTAGATTATTTAAAGGAAGTACAAATGAACTAACCTAGCCCATCCCTGGATTTCTGACAGGAGTTACTGTGCAGTAAATTCTTTGTCATTTTAGTAGGGGACAATTTATGTGGCACAAAATATGATGACTGACAGTACTTTAACTTCTTAGGGCGCAGCTATTTGTATTTATTTATGTATTTGAATAATTACGTATTCTAAGTGACATGATAAAGGAAAGCTGCTTACAGCTTTGCACTGTCAGTAAACTGCATCGCTGCAGTGTCACTTGCAGTATGCGAGTCTTTAATTTTTGAATGTCATGTTAGTAACCATCTTTGATTTTAATTGTAACTTCTTTCAGGAGAACAAAGTCCAGATGATTTAAGTATCTTGTACTCAAACAGAGCAGCATGTTACCTCAAAGAAGGGAACTGCAGTGACTGCATTCAGGATTGTAACAGGTAAATTGCAATCTCCCATCTAGGGCAACAACATTCCTGATGATGAGTAAACATTTTAACTGATACATTTTTATTACAGTTTGCCATAGACCAATCAATAAAGACTGATTCCCTAAATCTGATCTCTCTAAATAAGAGATCTTTGTCAGTTATGTAAACAATCACATGGAACCTAGGGGCAGAGTAGCTTTTAACTTACTGTCTTACTGTGTGAGTGCAGTTGTTAGGCTTCTTGTGTACGCAGAAATGCATAGCAGGATTAAAACGTCCAAGACAAACACAGGTTTACTTCAGTGATGCTCTGTAATAACTTACATGTAAAAGCATTGTTAAGCCAGATGGTTATCAGTGTGTTGGAAGTTGCTTTCAAGCATGTGCATGGTGTACATGTGTGCATTCTCTGTGTTTGGTTTGTTGGTTTGGGTTGGGTTTTTATTTAATACATACTTGGCATAGTTACAAACAGTAATTACGGCTGTTCAGGAATTGAGCTAAAATCCTTTCTGCTTACTGTGGCTTTTAAGGATACCAGAGTTAGAGAAGATTAGATACCTTCAGTAACTGAAACACTGCCTTCCACTAAATTATTAGTGTATTTCTAGATGTCTTTCTTTATATTTTCATAGTTAAGCTTAGTAAGACTGACGCTTAAGGTGCAAAAAAGGATCCTAAGGCAGTTAGAAATCGTACTAGTTAGTCATTTTTTTTACAGCATAACCCAACTGTTACAAATCCCAAACTAAAAATAAAGTACCTTTGTATTAATTAAATATTTCAGTTGCTGTATATATTCTGCCTGACAGAAAAGTTTCCTGAAAATATAATCTGAAAAAAAACCCCAACTTGTTAATAATATTTTGTTAAAATAGATGCAGGACCATACACAGCTGGCTGATAAAACAAGATGGTGTACTTGACAGCCATCACATTTTTCTCTTCAGGAGGTTTGAAGTATGTAAAACTTCACTTGAAATCAGTAATACAACTGGGGGTTTTGTATTCTTACCAGTTGGGAGCTTGTTTTCTTACTGCTTAATGATAGTGTCCTTAATGTCATGCATATTTTACAGATATAGAAGGAGCCATGTTGCTTAGTGAACACAACAGAGGTAGAAGTAATTTAGACTGGGAAGCAGAAGTGCAAAACTGCAAATACAAAGGACTTGGGCAATGCCAATTAAATTTTCTCTAAGCAACACAACACAAAGAATGATCAATGAATAGGTTACTTGATTTCAAAGTAAAAAGTGGTGTAGTGCTTATGTTTGTGGCATAAAAATAAGTATTGAACATTCCTCTTTTACTAAGTTTTTGCTATTTAGGGCTTAGAAGTGTATAAACCCCTCTCTGTTGGATTTCTCTCTGTCTCAAGACTTTTGATTTGGAGTGCCTTTGATTCTTATTACAGAGGGTGAAATAGAGTACTAATGTTAATTTATTTAGTACTGTAATGTGGGTTGGTCCAGGCTTTATAGTCTCATTCCACTCTGGAACTATACTTTCCCATTCCCACTGATGCTATTCTTCAGGGAGTGGCTTCCTCCGAATTTATTTATAGATGGTTATTTTTTTCTTAGTTCTTGATGTTAGGAACCTGAAATCGCATCAGTACTCTTCTGAGTTACAGAATGTCCAGCATTTTTGCAGAGGTTTGTAGGGGCTATGATGATGTGTGCTGTTGTATTTTTGAAATGCATTCAGGAACATAAAAAGAAATGGAATGCTGGTGATATTTATGAAATGGAAATTGGAAATGTTTCTTCTAGAAATCATTGTTTCTCTAGCTTTAGGAGGAGTCATGGTGCAAAGCCAGTTCACAGCCAAGGGCAGCCAGCAGCCTCCTGGGTTTCATATGAACAGGAGCACAGCCAGTGGATTGAGGGAAGTGATTATCCCCTTGTACTCAGCACTCGTTAGACAACATCTATGATAACTCCGTGTTCCCCAGTACAAGAAAGACAGTGATCAACTGGAGTGAGTTCAGTGAGGTGCCACTGAGGTGGTTGTGAACTCTTGAGCACTTGCCTGGAGAGGAGAGTCTGAGGGAGCTGGGTTTGTTCAGCTTAGAGAATGGCTTCCGGTGGTCCTAACAGCAGCCTGGCAGTACCTATGAGGAGGTTATCTAGAGGATGGATTCTGACTTGCTCTGGCAGTGGGAGGACAAGAGACAACAGGCAAAAATTAAACCACACAAGGTTGTAACTGTGTTTAAGGAGAGACCTTTTACCCTTGAACAGTGAGGCGCATAGCAGCCCAGAGGTGTGCAGAGATTCCCTTGAAGATTTTCAAGGCCCAACTGTGTAAGGCCAGAGCAACATTGTCTGATCTCAGAGCTGACCCCACGTATAGCAATGGTGATAGGCTAGGGGTAGACTAGAGATCTCTCAGCCTGAATTACGTTATGATTCCATAAAATCTAATTGGCTAGATGCATCTTAATTTCAGTATTTCAAAATTTATCTTTCTCTGTAGCAAGAATCATTGATTTATAGAAGGTAGTCTTTAAATAAAGCCTTTGTGGACTGCGTGTTCATATGACTGGAAAAGCACATGTTATTTGGGAGGAGTTGTGATTCCACAGTGTCAGGGGTTGAGCTCAGTGTTGATGAGGTACACAATCAGAAGAGTAAACAGACAAAAGGCAAAAACCTAAAAGCCAGAAATGCACAGGTGCATATTCATGTCTTACTAAATGTATTTTTTACATGCGTACTTCCATGTAAGGAAGAAGAACAGAAAATCATACAGGCAAAAGCACCATATACTTGAAATCCCCGTACATCTTGGCAGGACTTTAGAAAGATAGCTTTTGCTCTTGAGCAGCTGCCATTACATTAATCTTTTCTCGGTGCTAAAAGCAGTTTTCCAGATGGAAGATGGGGATTTGAGAATAGTAACTTGCAGAGTAAGTTGTAGTAAAAGCACTAACAATTTCAGAACTGTGTGTCAGTTGGGGTATTAATGCAAGCCTCTTAGTACCATTTTCCTTGCTTGTGTTACTGTAAGGCCCAACTGAAATAGCAGTTGTTGTGTATATCATAAAGTATTCTACTAATATTATTTCAGTTACTCTGTTTCAGTCCTGCATTTTTCTTTTTTTCCTCCAGAGCTCTGGAGCTTCAGCCATTTTCCCTTAAGCCTCTTCTGCGACGGGCGATGGCAAATGAGTGTATGGAACGATATCGACAGGCATACATTGATTATAAAACAGTCCTACAAATAGACAGCAGCATCCAAGCAGCAAATGATAGTGCTAATAGGTAAGTCCACTTAAAAAATTTCTGATATCAGTCCAAATGGAAAAGTAGAATTCAGTGTTGTTTGTTTTACATGCACTCTCAGTTCTGTACCCTTCAGGGTCAGGATCCTCACAGTGTGTTACAACTAGAGAACTGGCTGTCTCATTTGTTTTCCTGTAGCTTCAGTTTTCCTCTGCCAGCAGTAGGTCACTTTCTGTTTTAGAAAATATGTTTTAAAGGCTTTTTTCTGGCACTTCAACATGTTTTCTTTCTTAATTTTTATTTGCTGCCACGTAAAGTAGTTCTTTAAGGTCCATACCTTTTATCTGACATTTTTATTTCCTTTTCATATTAGCAGTCTTCCTGTAGCAGCAGGAGATTCATGTTAAGTGTAAATCCTGCAGCATGCTTCAGTTGTGGAAACACTGAAGGAGTTTGTTGCAGTGGTTGGCTACAAAACTTAAAGGTGTAAAAATGATAACTGAATATTATTTTAAACTGAAGTGTTAATACTTCTAACATGAATTCTTGCTGCCAAGAGAGGGTTGTCAATTTTTATAATTATATTTTAATAGTGTAAAATCAGTGTGTACACATTATAGTAACTGTGTTCTCATTTAACACATAGTAGGTATTTAAGTGCCTGAATGATTCATTTTTGCAATCCCTTTTCTTTCCTTTTTTCTTTAATGGGCAAAAAAAAAGTATTTATGAAAGCATAACAGCCATTAATTGTTGAGCAGGAACCCACACGCATGCAACTTTTAACAGTGGAATCTAGTACCTTTTTTCTTTTTTAAGGCAAAACCATGAGTACTTACCTTATTGCTTCATTAAAAAGTCCATAATATCTTTAAATTCTGCTTATTTGACCAGAGGTGGACATGATGACACTTCATCATCTCCTCTTAGAAATCTTATTTTTGATAGCAACTAGTTGTTACTGATCTCCTGTATCTGCCCCAATAATGGAGCACTTGGATTGGTGGGATGCATTAACTGCTTGTTCTGGTATCTGTGTGATTATTATACTTTTTTTTTTTATCTTCTTGGCTTATTTTATCTCTAGATACTCTTTTCATATTTCTCCTTGACTTGTAACTTGCTTAGTAATAAGCTTATTTCCCTTTATTTCCCCTAACACTCTTCCTTTTCTCCTCTCTAGGCCTTCCTTACGTTTTTAGCTTCACTGCTCATTACTCTTTCCTCCCTGGCAACCCATCACCTTATTTCAGCTGCTTCTTCCTTCTTCTCTTCTGCTGGTAATTCATTTTTGCTTGCAAATTCTTAGTTTCTAAAGCATAAACCTCCTGCATAATTGAACTTTTGCTGTAACTTATTTTTTAATATTTATGAATTAAGCTGAAATTGTTTACCAAAGTATTATTTTCATTTCCAAAGTAGCAGACCTTCTTCAAAATAAATGTTTAACAAAAAATGCTATTTACTTTACTGCCTTTTAACTTACAGGGACAACCCCAAAACGTAATTTAATTTAATTTTTTTTCATTATTTTAGGAATGTCAGGTCTTAACAACCTGCCTTTATTGGAGAATTTGTTTTTAATTTTCTGTGGGAAATCGGGTGATGATGCTGTAGGAAGGAGAGGAAAAACTCATCGTCCTGCTTGTGTCTCAGGATGGGTTTGATAAATCAAGTTAAAGCTTGTCTTTCTGTGCTTGCCTAACTGAGCAGGCTTTCCAGAAACCGTAGAATGGAATGGGTGTTTAGTCTGATAGTTTTAATAATTCTCATGTAAAAGACAAATAGAATTTTTAATATGAAGCCTTTACATGATCTTTTTGCAATCAAAAGGGAATAATGAATGATTGAAAATCAAATACTACAGGATTCTTTCTGTTGATGAATTAGATCAGGTTTTTTCTCAGACTTTTTAAGCCCATTATGTTAAATGGAGAAAAATTAAACCGGAGGCCAGTAGGACCATGGTTTACTGTGAAGTGATTGTTTTACTTTCTGGGAAATAAGTAAAAGACCAAAACTAAGCAAGAAAACTGGATTGGGCAATTTATGCTCAGTGCTTGTTCATTCTTCCTGTCACATTCAAGGTTAGTTCTTTTTGGGGGCTGTGTATTCATACAGTGTTTTTTATACCTGTGTTAGATGGAAATGCACCTAATATAGGAATTTCAGGTTTATTTGCTGTAATATCATGTGACTTGCCTTGACACTCAATTCAGAATTTTCTTTTGTTAAAGGAGATATTAGACTTGTCCCCAGTTCAACTTGACTCTTAAGATCATTTTGAGATTAGAAGGTGTTTACCTCACTGTTATTCTCATTCTCATAATTGATTAATATGTTTTGGATTTTCTGTTGGTTTTGGTTTTTTTTTAAACAATATAAAAGTTGTAATGGAACCATGAAATCTTGTATGGCTTTAATCATTATATTTACTTAGGACTTTCTCCAGAATATATCACAGCAATGGGTAACTCCCACATGAATGGATTTTGGATTGAACCTCTCATGTATAGAAATAGTTGACATACATATATATATGAAAATTATATGTATAATATAATATATAATATATGATAT